GCTGTTTTTGCCTGCAGTGGCAGTACAATGTGATGACGATGCAGCGGCAGCGCAACGCGATGACGTCACGTGCGCCTACCCGATCTCACGGCGAAGAGGATAATTCAAAATGTCAGCGGTGTGAAAGTTTTATTTTTCGTTGGTGAGGATGTCGGATTCCGAAGGTTTATGGACAAGGGGTGGGTGATATGGCTCAAATGTAATATTGTGATATTTCAGAGCATTCTGATGATAATGGTAAATTTTGTGATATAACAACAAACAAAAAACAGAAATCAGTTGTTCATTTGACAAAATTAACGTAACATGTTGATTTGCAGTATTATATAAAAACTAAAAGAACAAGGATTAATTTTACTGAAATTACTTTATTTAGGAAAGTATTCAGTCTAAAAGTATAAGAATAATAAATAAAAATGATCCTTCTGTTATTTAGAATGAAAAAGTCTGCACAAAATGCAGATCAACAAAATCCACCACAAAAACTAAAGTGCAGGTGAAGTTTCCCAAACTAACTAAATAAAATGAAGTTTAAGATCTGTTGAACATAAATGTAACATACAACAAAATATATGTTGCCTTTAAATGAGCTATAACTTCCAGAACTTGTAACAGTCTTCAGCTGACCCTGAAGCTTGTGGTGTTTCAGCTTCCTCTGTTCCTGCAGCACTGATTCATTTCTCTGATGCTCTGTCTTTGATCACCTGACTCTGTTCTTGCTCCATGGACTGTGGAACTCAAGAGACAGTTGAGCTGCATTTGTACCAACAGTTTAGAGCGGGGGAGACCTGCATCGGCAGCCAGAGCGGAGTGGGGAGAGAAAAAAAAAGACGAGTGGCAGCTTAGAGTGGGGGAAGGGAGAGACAGTTAAATGGTAAAATGGTAAATGGACTGTACTTATATAGTGGCTTTCTATCTTATTTCAAGATACTCAAAGCGAGTTGTCTGTGCCTGCAGTTTAGAGCATGGATGGAGAGACAGCTTAGCTGCGTGTTGTTTGTTTTTAGCTTTTTAACTAGCTAGTATTGCGTGCAACTAATTAGCGTTACACCAGTACCAACAGGTGTGTGTGTGTGTGTGGGGGGGGGGGGGGGCGGTTCGGTTTGGTTGTTCAATGCGCATGGTTCTGTTAAAGAGGCGGGGCGCCCTGACATATTACGTCATGAAATTAGCATATCATGATATCATTTTTTTGCCTGGGCAAGCTTTTTTTACCGGTATTATCGTGAACAATATGATATGGCCCAGCCCTATTATGGACTATGTTGAGCCTCGCTACATTGTCCCCAGTCGGAGATATTTTTCCGACGTAACGTTACCCGAGTTACAAGCTGTAATTTCCGACATCATTGAGAAGCTAATAGCTGATAGCACTTGGGTGAGTTTTACCACAGATATTTGGATGTCGTGTTAGCCCTGTTAGCATGATTAGTCTTACGGCACAATGGATAGACAAAAACTTTGAACTTAAAAAGTCTGTCCTTCAAGCACAAGAGTGCAGAGGATCTCACACTGCAGCTAGGAACCAGGAACAAGCCTCCACAAGTGAGACAGCATCACAGGTGACTAATGCTAATAAATAACTTTTAACAGTTTTTGTTTAATATGTCAAAGTGCTATAAATATCATATGGCTGTTACTGAATATACGTCACCAGCTCTTAAAGCTGTTACACAATTTTTGTACAAAAAAAGCCTAAATAAGACAGAGGGCTATGTTCTGACAAAGGAACATATATAAAATATCGGTATCGGCATCGGTTATCGGCCAAATAAGTTTTAACATATCGGCATATCAGATATCGGCCAAAAATCCAATATTGTACATCACTAATCAGCGTTCCACTTGTTAGCTCCAAACGTCACTGCTACTAAACAATAAATGCTTTTTAACTGAACCTGAAACAAATTTAGACCACACTGCTACATGACACATTATTTAATAATTGAATTAGTTGATTTTCTGCAGAATGTTGAGTGGACAGCAGTGAAGGAAGAAGCTGCTCTTTAATGCTTATTGAGCAGCTGGGAGAGGCTCTCTGCCCATCATGATGTCTGCAGACAGAAACTGACACTTCACCGCTCGCTGGCTGTTTTTACTCTCAGGACGTCTAACAAAGCATCTCAGCAGAAATGTTCCCAAACACAAACCTGTAATATGGTGCTAATGAGTGTTTGGTTAATGAGCTAATGATGGCCATAAAGATGGTCACGTGAGCAGAGACTGCTGTGTACAAACTGCTAAAGATGGGAAATTAGGTTGAACTGAATCACTCTTGAGCTCTTCTAAAATGTCTCGTGGGGCAAACTACTTCATGGTGTTAAAGAGGTTTTTAAAAGGACAATTATTTCTAGAATACACATTTCCAATAGAAATAAAGACCTGTCTTTAGTCAAATAAAGCAGCTCATCAACTGGGGTTCAAATGATTTCTGAAGATTCCTCTGGAGTGAAATATACATCCATTCAACCAACCAACATCCATCCATCCATCCATCCATTTATGCATCCATCCATTATTTTCCTCTTTTTCCAAAGTCGGGTCGTGGGGGCAACAGCTTGAGCAAGGAGGTCCAGACATCTCTTTCCACAGCCACCTCTTCCAGCCTTTCTGGGAGGACTCCAAGGTGTTCCCAGGTCATCCAAGAGACAGTCTCTCCAGTGTGTACTGGGTCTTCCTCAGGGTCTCCTCCCAGTTGGACATGCCCGAAGCACCTCCCTAGGGAGGCGCCCAGGAAACATCTTTACAAGATGCCGGAATCACCTCAACTGGCTCCTCTGGATGTGGAGGAGCAGCGGTTCTACTTCGAGTCTCTCCTGATAACTGAACTTCTCACCCTTTCTCATAATCAAAACTCCAAGAAAGATGAACTCCATTTGAGGCAGAACCTCGCCCTCAACCCGAAGAGAGCAATCCACCCTTTTCCAACTGAGGACCATGGCCTCAGATTTGGAGGTGCTGATTCTCATCTGAAATAAACAAAACAATGTCAAATAGCTGCTTGAAGATAAGCAGACTGGGTGTTTTAGTCCAGGAAGGACTCATTTACAGCATGTGACTCTTTGTCAGGGCCTCACGTTGCACTTTATTTGTTTCATCTTATTTTAGGAGCTCCTTAGAAAGCTCCTGTTTCATCCTTGATAACCCTAACTCACTAACACCCTGCATAACATTCACCAGTACCTCTTTGTGTTCTGTATAATTTCAATGATGGCATCAATTTGGCCTCTAGTTGTAATTCAAGAACCTTGATGTTGGTTTTAATAAGGATATGTAATTTAACCCCCACATTAAAAAGATACCAGAACCTCTTCCTTCCACCCGATCAATATCACTAAATTTAGAAACATCTTGTCTCAAAATCATGCAGACACACTGCTCCTTGCATTTATCACTTCTAGGTTGGACTTTTAAAATTCTTTATTATCCCACACATTGCAGGTTTATTTGTGGTTCCTAGAGTTTCCAAAAGCAGAATGGGAAGCAGAGTTATCAGGCTCCTCTCTAGTAGAACCAACTTCCAGTTTCTGTCTGTGAGCCTGACCCTTTCTACAGGCTGAAGTCTTTCTTTTTATATGCCTGATGAAGGGGGGATGTATGTTGATATAGTCTTTGACTGCCCCACTGGCTGTCCGTGAGGCTGACACATTGTCTAATTTTTAAGATTAGGCAGAAATCTTTCCTTTCATGCACCTTATGAGGGTGGGATGTATTTTGGTTTAGTCTCTGGCTGTCCCACCGTCTGGCCGTGAGGTTGACCCTTTCTACAGACTGAAGACTTTCCTTTTA